TTCAGTCAGAGTACTGGTAAAATAACAAAGTTTATTCCAGGGTTCTGTCCCCTCACTGCACAAGCCCAGCACACGTCTGCTGCCTGACTGCTGACCCCAGAATTTATGGGCCCCGGGGGTCCTCAGTAAACCCACAGGTCAGAGGCCTCTTGGGGAGATGGTGCCTGTTGGGACCCACGTCCCCACAGTGCCCGGCTCAGCTCCTGGACAGGAGAGGACTGGCTGTCTCGGGTTATTTTCCTGAAGACACTGGACCAGCTGGTCGCTGTGCTGGACTGTGCTGTCCAGGGCCCAGGTCTCAAGGCAAACAAGCCTGCGCTCCAGGGGGTCCTGCTGCTGGGAGGCAGGAACTGCCCTTCCCAGGGTCAAGTTGAAAAAAGCCCCTCCCTGCCCCAGCTTCCTGAGAAAGCCGCAAAGCTGAGGCTGGAGCACTCATGGCAACCAGCCCACGTCTCTGACGCAGGGCCTGGCTCAGCACGGCCAGGGGCCAGAATGCCAGTTCTCCTGTATGGGGTCCCTGTGACCAAATGGAAAGGTCACGACCCCTGCCGGACCATCCCCAGGACACTCACAACCCACCTGTGGGCTGTAGGGTCCAGGTTAGACACTCTTCCCAAATGCATTGTCATGAGACAACATAAGGGAGGTCCTAGAATGAGAGAAACTTTAGTCACAATAAGCAAGTGCATTGTGTAATCCTTGGTTACTTTCTGGTTAAGAAAAGTGGAGACAATCAGGGGAAATCTGAGCGTGAAGCTGTGGAGGGGGTGTTAGGTTTGGTGCGACTACAATTATGACAGGATACTAAGAAGCTGGGGAAATTCTGGGGCAGGTGGAATGGGGAAACAAGACAAGAAAATTAAACAAGGCCAAACAGCTGGGGCGACTTAGAGCCGGCCGGTGAATCGCAAGAACTTACCTCCCCTAACAGAGGACGCCTGAGAGTGTGAATTGTTCCTGCCTCTCCTCCCTAATCAAAGAATACAGAGCTTAAATCTTCCTGGCCTGGGAAATAGAGAATGGAGACCCAGGTAATGCCATTTGTGCCAGCTAAGCCCAAGGACAGATGAAGTCGGGAACAAATCATACAAACTCCATTAAGAGCCAGACAGACCCTTGCCCTGGCTGGTATGGCTCGGTGGATTGAGTGCCGGCCTGCAAACCGAAAGGTCGCCGGTTCAATTCCCAGTCTAGGGTACATGCCTGGGTCGCAGGCCAAGTCCCCGGTGGGGGGTGCACAAGAGGAAACCACACATTGATGTTTCTCTCCCTTTCTTTCTCCCTCCCTTTCCCTCTCTCTAAAAATAAATAAATAAAACCTTAAAAATAAAAAAAGAGCCAGGCAGACCCAAGATAAAAGTAAAACAGTGTAGTAGACCAGAGAATACTCCCCCTGCCCCCTCCATGCACTCGTCTTAACACAACGGCATGTTGAAAATGTACTCGGAAAGCTGATGGATATTCTGCTGAAACCCTCCCCTACGATTCTCGCCTGCAGAAAAAGATAGAAAGCCCTCAGGACAAAGACTCAGCGCGAGCTCACTCTAGAGCACACGCATGCCCCTTCTCGGGCATGAACTTTTTATTTCCTCCTCAACTCTAAGGGTCCCACGGGGACTTGCAGCCAGGGGAGCAGTGGGCAGCGGCAGCTCGACCCTGCCTTACCCTGTGATCCTGTCCCCAGGGCCCCCTTTCCTCCGACTTCCTGGGGAGCTAACAGCAGCCCCGCCTTGGTTCACTCCTTTCTGATAACCGTTCTAGGGAGCCTCTCGGGAGCACTGCTTCCGCTCGCGTGCTCTGCTTCGGCTCACTCCTGCTGCTGCTTCTACCCTTGGTCCTTCCTTTGTTTCACTGTCCCCGGCCTTCATAAGAATACTCTGAGTCCCCTGGACTCCTGTTGTGAAACTTTTCCTACACGAAGTCAAGAACCCACACGCTCCAGCTGGCCCGAGGCAGGCCCGCTGAGGGCCAGGCCCCTGTCCGGTGACACACTGGCGTGCTTATAGAGGCCGCTCTTTGGCGATGTTGGTTGGAGCGTTTGGGAAAAAATGTCATGTCCGTAACTGGCTCTGAGACAGTTCAGTCAAGAAGAATATGTAAACCAGACACACAGCCCCAGTCCACTCGAGGTGACGGTTTGTGGGTGTTTGTGTGCAGCGTGTTCTGCTCTCATGTATGTGCAAGAAAGTTAAAGGCTGCGGCCGACGGGTCTGGCAGGGGTCTCTCTGGCTTGGACCTCCAGGATGTCCGAGAAAGGAAACCCCCTTTGGTTTTGTGGTTTTTCAGCTGGAGTGAATTTGATGTGGCAAATACTTCCTGAGGGCCGTTCTGCGTGGAGGGCCTCTGCAAAAGGCTGCGGGTCTTCGGACCAGCGTGTGTGAGTTGCTGAAATGTGGGTGCTGATTCAGCGGCTGTGGGGGAAGGCGGGGGCGCTGAGATTCTGCATCCCTGACCAGCTCCGGAGGTGCCCTGCTGCTCGCCAGGGTCCAAACGTGGAGAAGCAAATCCGCAGCCTGGTGTGGCCGGGGTTGGTGGAATAGGTAGGGGTAGGTCAGAACCTGGGCTTTGCAGACCCGGGGAGCTGCACTCAAACTCCTGCTCAGGCACCTATGGGCTGTGAGGTCTGGGTAAGGGCCTGGCTTTTCCAAGCCTTGTTTCCTCAGCCGGCGACAGGGACTCATCATATTTCCCTTCTAGGGAGCTGTAGGGCCATCTGCAAATTGCAGAGTCTGGAGGAAGAGAAAGCCCCCCTGGGAGAAGCTCTGTCACCTCCGAGGGACTGGAGAGACACAGGCTTTTGCTCCGAGCCACAGAGTCCCCCTCGGTCTGAGTTTTGGAAGGTGCGTCTCCCGTGGCACCTACACCGCCCCGCACCAGCCTTGGAGCCCTGCCTGCTTGCACTCCCTCCGCAGCTGTGGGAGCTTGAAGGCAAATGCTTCTCTTCAGCTGCTGGTCTATGTGGAACAGCTCTCCCACCCCAGGGAGGAGGGGCGGTGGGAACTGCCGCTTGGCTGCTGAGCCCACTGAAGCAGCTCTGCAAGGGAGGACTGTGGGCGCGTGGGTGCAGCCTGGCTCCAGCGTCACAGCCTCTCCCTGGTCTTACTCAGCTTCTGCAGATTTAATGGGATAAAAGACGCTTGGTTTGTTGTAGCCTTTTGATCAATCTCAAGAGACTCTGAATGATTGTCTTTGCTAATTCTGACCAGCCTATCGGATGTCTTCCCTGGGGACATTTGGGTTCCCTGATCTCCTCACACTGCCACCTGGTGGTGCCTGTGGTTCCTACTGTTCGCAATACTCGCCAGACACCCACAGGGCTCACATTTTAACCTCTTCTGGTGCCTGCCTTCTTGGAAACAAACAGCCCTTGCCAGCAGTCAGATAACTGCTGGCAACATAAGAAATTAAGAAAACAACATAAGCCCTGGCCGGGTAGCACAACTAGTTGGAGCATCGTCCTGATACCCCAAAGTTGTGGGTTTGATCCTCAGTCAAGGCACGTGCAAGAATCAACCAGTGAATGCATCAGTGAGGGGAATAATGAAGTTTCTCTCTCTCCTTTCCTCTCTCTCTCTAAAACCAATCAATACAAAACTTTTTTTTAAAAGAAAAACAATTAAAATATGGATTCAACTTCATATCCTTCCCAACACCTAATAAAACTAGCAACTGCTTTTTGATTGTCTAGATACTTCTTTGTGCTTAAAGTTCAGTAAAAACTTATATAAGGAGACCATGTTTGTAAAGTCTGATAGCAATCGGTACAAAACTATCCATCCCTACCGGGGTGTGAGGCTGCGGGTGTCCCTTAATAGGACAGAGCCCCAGCCCAATGCATCCCCGTCTTTTCCCATCTGGAGCTCCTGTCCCCTGCTGACAAGCACTTTTATCTGCTTGTCGTTCCACCCGGTCAGGCACGGCTTTTGTCTGCCAACCGCTGTGTCTGCAGCACGTCCCCCAGGACAAGGCCTGCACAGCGGGTGTGCAGCATTTGCGGAGTGGCGTAGAGGACACGTCGTCAGTGTCCATAGGGAGAAGTAGCTATTGGTGACCTGTCTCTTCAGGAGGGTGGCTCCTGTCACCCGCAAAGCTGTTCTCTGCTGAGCACCAATCTGAGCACACGTGGGAAGAGGGGAGACAGCTGGGTGCCGTGAGGGCTGGCAAGAGCTGGAGGCTGTGCGTCCAGGACCAGGTTTGGGGTGGCGGGAGAGCGGAACCAGCTGATGGCCCACGGCTCACAATTGCAGGTGTGGAGATGGCGAAAAATCCCGGTGACGGTCACCCTGAAAAATGCCATTTCAAGTGTGACCATAGGCCTTAGTGTGGAGGGAGGGCAATGTAACCTCTGCCGTAACTCTGCTCCTCGATGCCTGCAGTGTCCCAGGGGGAGGGTCCTGGTTGGGACCCTGTGCTCCTACTTGGGAGGAAGGGATAGAGAACAAGAACCAGGCCCTTGTGGGACTTTGCACTCACCCCGGGGACTGTCACGATGCCCGTAGGCGTGGAATGTGACCCTCAGTTGATGCTGGAGCTACACGTGAGATTGAAACCTAAGTGCCCCTTGCTGGAGGGACGGATGGACACAGGTGCATGCAAGTGACACAGGACAAATGGATGCGGGATCTTTGTTCCGCTGTGCCCTCAACACCTGGTGGCGGGCATGCCTCTGGGACAAGCTGGGGAGTCCATCCAGGACGCTGGCACCTCTGCTTGTCCTCACAGGCCTAGGCCTGGCAGCGAGTGTCTGCTTCCCCCACCCTGGGACGCTGCCCCAGCACCCCTGGCTGGCCGTGCGGAGCGGGCACACGAGAGCAAGGCTGGTGCCTGGACAGTCTGTTTCAGACCCTGACGACAGTCGCCAGCCAGCACGACCCCCCGCGCCCGCTGCACTGTAACGGCTCCCAAGGTGTGTTTACACACTCTGACAGTCAACGTCCAATACGAATCTGAGGGCAAAGACAGGTTTTTCTTTATTGAGCTTTACTGACAAACCCTGCGGACACTATTACAAACTCATTGTAAACAAACAGTGCTTGCCAGCAGCCAGGTGAATTCAGGGAACACACACAAAAATCAAAAGATGGACTCAATTTCATAATTTTTTCCCCCAATACTAACAACTGCTTTATACTCCCCTTTGTGCTTTCGGTTCAAGTAAAAGTTAGAAAGGACAACACGTTGTAAAGTGTGATACCAAATCGGACAGACGATTGTTTTACAAAATACTGTTCAGGTCACCAGCATTAATTTAAATTATTTCCTTTTTGGGACTGCCAAGTCCCCTTGGCAATTTTACCTAAGAAAATAGCATGCATCAAGTAGAAAACCATTATTCTAAATAGTGTCTTTATGTGACACATTTTTGTTGTGTATACGTGTAAATGAAATTTTAAAAAATTGGGTTTTTTTTCCTTTGTAGCCCAAATGTAGAGATTAAAAAGAAGCCACAGTCAACCTACTGGACTTACCCACAAAATGGAGTAAGTTAGGGCAGATTTAGAGAAGGACAGGTGCAATCCAAGACACACTGTCACTTCTGGACACACGTCCCCAGGCAGGAGGTACATCGGTAGGACACTCCACCGATGCCTCAGAAGGGACAGGTGACGCACAGCAGCCATGAAGGAAAGTCCCTGCACCCATCTCGCGAACAAACGTGCCACTTGTGTGCTGGAAAGTCTTGCCAGGACTGCTTAACACTGGTGGGTTGTATGGCCCACTTGGCTAGAAGACCTACTTTTGAAGCTAAAATAAAGTTGTTAGAAAAATAATTTGACCAAGGATGATGACAGTTTTTAAAAACAAAGCTATAAACATTGGATTACTCGAATCTTATCTTTTTACACTTCAGTTTTGGCTCTGACATGAAACATAGTGCACTAACGCCATGCAACCACAACAAAGTCTCTGGCACCTAAGACTTTTCATGACAAAGACTAGCTACCACCACCACAATGCTCATTGTTTCTTTTTTCCTGGCCTAATTGTGATGATACTGTTATAGAGCTTGCAAAGAATAGTTTCCCTTCCTTCTCAGCAGGGCCTTTGTGGGCAAGACAGCCCACCTCCAGCTCGCGATGAAGCCCACCCTGGCTGTGACTAAGGAAACCAGTCAGCTAGCTGGAGGACGTAATCCCGGAGGGCCTCCCCCAACCCGAAGCCACAGCCCCAAAACACTGAGGACACTCTGGGGCCCTGGCTGGGAAGCAGCGAAGGGAGCTGGCCCTGGCTTTGGTGAGAAACTCGAGCTCTGGCTGGGGGGTGGGGGCACTTTCACTCCTAGGAGGCCTGAGGTCCCTGAGCAGAGAGTAAGCTGGGGAGGTGCTGGGCACCAGAGGCACAACTACGTGTCCCCAAGTTACGACTCCTCCTTTGGGTCTGCACTGTGTTTTTGTGCAAACTCAAGAGAGAGGCAGGGCCCAGGGGCTTTCCCGAGGTGACCCCCGACTTCCGGGTCTGCATCTTATCCCTCACTCAGGCTCAGGGCAGACCCAGCTTCCTTAAACAAGGCCAAGGAGCAGGCGACGCTGCTCCACGTTGCATTTCTTTCCCCAACTAAAGTCTGTGTGACTTCCACCCCCGATTTTTTGTAATTAACTAAAATTAGGACTTTATAAAAATCTGTAAGTGCAAGACTCAGCATTTAAGATATAAGGTAGCTATGAATAAGTAAGTATGCACAAATGGTCCTGAGAGCTGCTCTGCCTGCCATCCAGCAGGAGCTCAGCGCTCCGGACGCTGCTGCTGTCCCTCAAAGAGCCGCGTTTCCCTTCGATGAAGAACTGCTCTGCGGACGCCAGCGCTCGGTCGCCGCTACGTACCCAGAGCAGCCAGAGCGCGATGGCCTGGGCGGGTGAGCGTGCCTGGCGTGGCTCCCTGGTGAGGACACTTTGGGTTGGCTGAGAGGTAGGAACACAGGGAAGGACACAGGCTGCGCGGCTCTGCTCTCCTGCCCCACTCACAGGTTCATCCCCAGCTGAGCAGATATGGAAAAACGACTGGATTGTGGATTCAGTTAGAAGAGTCGCCCCAATCGAAAACTGCCACCTACCCACAGAGCATGGGAACACAGTCCTATGTGCTTCTTAAAAGACTGTTACACATGAAAGACCCACAGAAAAGCAGCCTGGCTCGGCGAACACCAGTACCCCACGTGTGCACACGTGGACAGCAGGCAGACTCCAACTCCAGGCTGTCCCTGTGCCCGCAGCACCCACTAGTGGTGGCGGTCAACCTGTTCTCGGCTCCCACATCTGGGAAGGCACCGAGTAACCCACAAATGTGGGATACTGGTGAGCTCCGGCACAGGCGAGGTTTGTAGCGAAAGCTTCAGCCACAGCAGATGTCCACAGCAGTGTCACGGTTCACACCCAGACCCTTGTGTACACAAGTTATAAAACAATAAAAAACACCCCACCTTTTAAAAGTTATAATTTATAGAGTATTCTGTACAAAAGCAGTCTTTACAAATAGACTCTGCTACTCTCCTAGAAGAAGTCCATTGCCGTCGGCCTTCTCTTTGGTGTGATGCTCAGCGGCTTCTTGGTCCCCAGGGGGGTACTGGCGGGGGAGCTGGTGGGGGTCTTCAGCACTCCGTGGAGCGGTCTCTGCTCAGGGTTGAAGGCCACTCGGGAGGCGCCCGTGGGACTGACTAAGATGCTCTTGTCTGTCTTCTTGAATTCTGTCCGATGAAAGCAAGGCCACATGTTACTGGGTGTGATTTCTCTGTCCTGTCAACTGGCCCATACGGTGTCTGGTCTCCGTGCTGTCCCCTCCACTGGGAGCCATGGCACTCACTCCTGGGCAGGGAACCGGCCCCGAGGGCCACCTGGATAGGCCTTGAGTGGAGCACCCGGTGGGCAGGGCTGTTTTTGGGATGTGGGCAATGAGTGGTACCAAGCAGGCCTCCCATCCTCCTGGGTCAGCTCCTCCCACCGCCTCCAACTTTACAGACAAGGGAGTGGGGTGGGGGGCTCTGCCCAGGACTCTCCTGACAGCTGCTCCTGTGTGTGCACGCACACATAGGCACACAAGCATGCGCACGCGCGCGCACACACGTACTTGTCCCTAAGGCAAGTCAGGTCTTAACTCATATACTTTTAAAAGCAGCTGACAGGCCATTACATCTCAGGCCAAGATGGCCAACACACTGCAGGCAGGTGGGCGCGGGGACTGAATCTGCCTCTGGACAGGGCCAGCGCCCCCCTCCCAGGGAGCGGGCTGCAACTGCAAGCGACCCCTACTCACCTGCAGTCATGTTTCTGTTCAACCCGAAGGTGACTTTCTTGGAGCTGGACGGTGCTTTGTTGAGCTGCAGAAGAGAGAAAGCCGTAGCAGAAGGAGCAGAGAGGTACAAAGTGGCTGAGGCGCGTTGTCTGTTGCGAGTTCCCGAGCGCTCACAGGTGCCTACCAGCCACCAGGAGCACACGGCCTGAGGTCAGGGGCCCGTGTCTGCCTCCATGGCCTCCTGAGGACCTCGCTGTGCAACCCCAGGCCTGGAGTGCATGAGGTGCTCCTGTGAGCGCACGCTACAGGTCTGGGAGGTGGGCAGTGCCAGCACCACCCTACAGTGACCTGCTCCATGGCTGGCTCCCGCCTCTGCCTTCCGGGGAAGAAGGCAGAGCAAAATTATCATGCTCCAAACCTTGTAAGTTATAGGAAAAGATTCACCATTGAAAAATTGTAAGCAGTTCCCATTCACTGTGCCCAGTGTTTCAGCTTTAACTTGGTAATGAAACTCATTAGATTATGATGGGATTGAGCTTCAGTGGGCAATGGACCCACATTTCCCAACTTTTTGTGCACAGGATGCCAAATGGACTTGAATATTCTAACAATTAATCGAAATTAACTAAATGGAGCCCTGACTGGTATGGCTCAGTTGGCTGTAGCTTTGTCCCATTAGCTGAAAGGTCATGGGTTCGATCCCTGGTCAGGGCACATGCCTGGGTTTCAGGTCTGCTCCCCAGTCGGGGCACCTGGGAGAAGGAACCGACCGATGTTTCTCTCTCTCCTCTGTCTCTCTTGCCACCCCTTTCCCTCTTCTCTAAGATAAATGAGTACGTCCTCGGCTGAGGATAAAAAAAGGTAACTAAGTTGTTTCATATTTGAAAAATATCTAGAAGCTGACCCATTTTGCATGATGCAGCACTTTTTCACATTCCTTCCTAGAACCCTGCATTTTTGGGTGCATCCACCCCCTAGTTCTACCTTGTACCATTTCTGCTTTAACATTCCCATTTTACAGGGGGAACCTGGCTTCTGTAAGCCCGCCTCATTTACAGATATCCCTGGAGTATCTTGTGCATAAACATGAGCATAGGCAGTGGTCACTCTGCTGGGGTGAGGCTGTTTAAACAGCGCCTACTCATGGGTCTCCCCAGCAGGGCCAGCCCAGGACCTGTCCCCGCAGCTCCGGGACCTCTCTTTCCTGGAGGCGACTCCAGACCAGCCTCCAGCATATGCCGGTCTGCACCTTCTCCCACCTTCCAGTGGCACTCGGCAGAGACAGGCGACCCTTTCCTCGTGGCTCCCACCCAGCTCCCCAGGACAGTGTCCGCCCTCACCCACCATGACCCGGGACTGTACCTGCTCATTCTACCCGCCTGAACACCCACCAGTGTCCTTGGTAGGCCCTTCTGATGGGGGACTCAAGAGTTGGAAAATTTTAGCTTTAGGTAAGAGTTAATAAGCCTAGTAGTTAGTGCAAGTGAAAAGCTACTGTTTGAGGGACTGCAGGTACGGCCCACCCGGACTCCAGGAGACCGCAGGCGACTGACCTTTGTGCTCCCGGAGAGGCCGGAAGCAACCAAGGTGGCGGCCGAGCCATTGTGTTGCAGGGAGAGGCAGTCCGCCGCCCAGGACACAGATAGAGAACACTGCCCAGGACATAAAACCCAGATAGGAAATCACTGGTCGGCAGAGGAAAGGATGCCAGGGAAGCTGCTGGGCTGCAGCTGTTACCTGATGAACCTCTTTCCTGAATTCCAAATCCCTTACCTACGCTTTCGCCTCCTTATAAAAAGGCCGGCTTGAAAGGAAATGTGAGGCGGTCTGTTAGCGTACCAACCCACCACCTTCTCAGATCGCCGTTCTTCTAATTAAGTGCTAGTGGAGTTTCAATCCCTGTCTCCGTGAACACTAACTTTCCCGGTTTCACCTCCAACCCTCCTACATCTGCTTTGTAAATGCGGGGCTCTCTGGGGCCTCCTGCCACCCGCTTCACTACCTGCTTCTCTAGATCTCCTCTACGCCCAGAGTTCTAAGATGCGGCACCCATGACCAATCCCTTGGGGTCGGCCCCGCGGAACCACTGCACGGCCTGCACAGCAGATCTGGGTTCCTTCCACGAGCGGGAACCTGTGCCCCGTGGACAGAAGCGGAGGCGAGGCAGCGCGCCCCTGTGGTGTGGTGGCACCGGGCTTACCTGCACAGCGGGGGTCACAGGGGTGGCAGGCCTGCTCTTAGCTTTTCTGAAGAACAGGGGCTTTGGGAGGAAGGGGGTATCAAATTTCACAAAGTCATTCTCAGTCCTCAGCTGCTTCTTCTTCCAAGCTCCACGGCTCCCCTGTGTGAGGGAGGGGCGAGAGGAGGGGGGTCGCACACAGCACCACCTGTGCCACACCTACACACACAGGAAGGGAGAGCAGGACCAGGGGGTGCAGACACCATGGGGCTGAGGCCACAGGCGCAGAGCGGCTCAGATGAGAGCCATTTACTAGCTCAGAAACCCTACACATCGCTCTTTCCGGAACCAGATTTACCAACATCCTTTTTTGCTCAGTACAGCAAAACTGCCACTTCTCCACCACGGCTCTAGGCCAGCAGGGCCAGAGGTTTCTTATGTTTTCAGCTACAAGAACCATTTTGATGTGTCTTCAAACTCAGTCCCGTGCTCTGAAGATCTCTGCCTTTCAAAGACACCTCACTGTCATGCACGGCCTAGAGACGGGGACGCGTTCTGAGAAACGCGTTGCTAAGCAGTTTCATTGCTGTGTAAACATGACAGAGGCACCAGACACATCTCCGTGGTGCGGCCTGCGGCGCACCCGGGCTCTGCGGTGCAGCCTCTGCCCCTGGGCTACCAGCCTGGGCAGTGTTCACTGCACCGAGTCTTGTAGGCGGCCCGCACGGGGGGAGGCATTTGTGCGTCGAAACACAGAAAATGGCGTGAAGGGTACAGGGCCCTGGATCGGGCACGTCCCTTGAACGGAGCTCACAGGCCGGGCGGTGCTCTGGCTGAGTCGGGGCTGCGGGGGCGGTGAAGGTGAAGGCCCGGGGCGGCCGTGCACGGCTGTAGCCTTTAGAGCCACTGTGCACTCACGCGACGCAAGTTTATAAAACATACTTTTCCTTCTTCAGTAATTTAACCTTGGCTTACTGAAACTTTTTCACTTTATACACTTAAAATTACTTTTTTAAATTGCCGGAGGCATGAGCCTCAACCACAGATCGAAACTGCCACCTTTTGGTGTATGTGACAACACGCCAATTAACTGAGTCACCTGGCCGGGGCTAAACATTGTTAACTTTTTGACTCTTGTAATAACACTTAGCTAGAAACACAAACACTATACAGCTGTACAGAAATATTTTCTTTCCATATATCCTTATTCTACAAATTTTTTTCCATTACGTTTTCCCCCCATTTTTAAAACCTTTTTGCAACACGCACATTAGCTTAAGCCTGCACACGGCTGCGGTCATCGCCACCACTGCCTCCTCCTCTACTTCTTATCCCACAGGAGGGTCTCCATGGGCAATGACACGCCTGGAGCTGTCGCCTGCTATGGTAACAATACCTTCTCCTGGAACACCTCTTAGAGGACCTGCTTGAGGCTCTCCGTGAGGGGGCGTCACTCTTTCCAGAAAGCACTAGGATGGCTAGGATGTCACTAGGCAATAGGAATCGTTCGGCTCCACTGTAACGTTATAGGACCACTGCTGTTAGACAGTCTACTGGTGACGTAAATGTTAGGCAGCACGTGACTTAGTAAATAATTCATTTCCAATCAAAGACGTCATTGTACGCCAGAAATCTGGCATGAAAGCGTGACCGGGACCTCCTGCTTAGGTCCTATTGGTCCATTTCAGGCAGATAAAGAATGTTCACTGGGTGCTTTACAATGGACCACCACCCACACGAAGACCCTGCTCCAGTGCTGGGACCCCAGGGGTCTGGGAAACCCAATGTGGTTGATTTCACTCTGGAGCTTTTGGCAAGGCTTTGGTGACCCTGGCTTGGAAGTTTGCTGCTTCCCCTGAGCGGAACCCATGAGGGCGCACCCTGAACCCAGGCATCCCCGCTCACGCGCCTTCCCGCTCCCGCTGGCAGACACAGTGCCTGCTTGTGGAGGAAAAACCTGCGATAAGCCTGGCATTTCTTTAGGGACTGTTCCAATTCTGAGAGGGTGCAGGGGCCTGGGAAATGAGACATGGAAAAGGACTGACGTCCTTAGTGAAGAGCATCAAATGAATAGCGAGTGGAGGGCAGAGATGGCAGAGCCAACGGCGGTGACGCAGTGACAACGGTCGCCAAGGGAAGGCCTAGGATGAGAGTGGCCTTCCTGAAGCCCAAGGAGTGTTCTGTTTTCCCAGCTGTCTTTTACTGACCAGAAACTAATTCACTGAGCACTTGTCATGTTAGAGGGGCCTCGATGTCACTACTGTGACACAGCAGTGCGCGCAAGCCAAGTACCGCACAGGGACAGTGAGCCTGCTTGCAAAGGGCCCGGGAGGAGATGTTTCGGCTTTGAGGGCCATGAGGTGCCTGTCACAACCACCCACCTCTGCCTCTGAGGAGTGAGAGCAGCACAGGGCCAGGCGTGGCTGGGCGCCAGTGACCGTGCGTCTGGAGTGCTGACATGGCGCGCAGATCCAGAGCCTGGCTGGCTCTCGTTCATATTGGGCTCTAGAGATCCAAGCAGGACGGAAGTCTTTTCATTGAAAAGACAAGCCACACAGAATTTTGGCCCAGGACTGGCTGTCAGTTGAAGAAAAACAAGACCAGCGTTTGACGGGACACCTGTCTGCCTGTTTGTACAGCACAGCAGCGTGCCTGCCTGGGCCACGGGGACAGTCCTCCCAGCTTGGTGTGGCCCTCTGCAGCCCTCAGAGTGGGCAGCCTGGTGGGGTATGGAGGAGTGACGGGGCATGACAACTGTCTCGGCCACCGAGACTGGCCATGTTTCTTTACTCACTGGGAGGGGGTGTTATGAACCACAACAGGTTCTTGGTCCAGAGGTCTGGCCTGTCCCCCCTCCCCACTAAACTGAGGCCCGAGGTGGCCAGAGCCTCTGAACTTTTGGCACAAGCGCCTCAGCTACCCTGCCTGGAACCCAGTCACCTTACCAGAGTCTGGATGAGCTTGAGTTCGGATTCCAATACTCTGCTGTGTTCAACCAAGTTCAACATCTCTTTCATTTTCTTCCTCTTTTTGAAGATGGCAGTTTTCTGAATAGACGGGTGGTAGAGGTCAAGACGGCTGGGCTCTCCCTTCTTTTTCTTTAGCCGCCCACCCTGAGGCAGTGAGGCTGGGCAATCCTCTCCATCTGCCGGGCTCGCTGAAGGGCCCTCCTCCTGGGGTCGGGGCCGGGCCAGTGTTTGGGGGCTGCCGTTGACCCAGGGAGCCCTGAGTTTCCGCTTCCTCTTCGGGGCCGGGGCTCCACTGGCTGGGGAAGCTTGGGGGGCAAGCACCTGACTATGACCATTGCCGAGGCCACCTTGACACAGGTCCTCCAGAGGTGATGTCGTGGGCTCCGAGATCAGTCCCTGGAGCCGAGGGTTCCTCTTCCTGGGTCGTTTCCTCCTGCTGTGCGTGGGAGGGTGCGAGGGGGAGCGCTTTGAGCTGCTCTGCTCCGGGGGGCTGGGCGCGGCCCCCGCCCCCAGCTCCACCACCCCCGGCTTCTGTGTTCTTCCCGGACCTGCCTCTGGCTCGCTCAGCCCGTTCTGCTCTGGGGGCATGGCTCTGTCCCCTGACCCTAAATGTTCATGTTGAAGGTGGTTCCTCTTCTTTTTCCTTTTCCTCTTCTGAACACTACCTTTACTCTCTTCTCCCTCAGCCAGAATGAACTTGTTTCCTAGAAAGACACATAAATCAATAAGCAGGTGCCCCGCTGCCATGCAGACAGCAGGTGTTGCAAGGGATTCTGGGGCGTGAGTGGCTCTGATCCTTGGCACACCCGAGCTCCACTATTTCTCTCCTTTGGCCCCATTTCCTCCTCTTCCCAACTGTGATTAGAAACCTTCCTAATGCCTGTTTCACTGTAGATGGAACTGAAATATATTCAGATTTCTACTAATGTTCAGGCTGAAGGTAAAAGCCACAGACCCAGGGTGGTAACAGAACAAACGCGTCCCAGGGCAGTGTGTATCTAGCGTCTCCACGTCCTCAGCCACTTTCTTCAAAGATGCCGCCAGGAATAAGCAAATAAGTGCCCCAGAAAAATCAAACTCGTGGGAACAATCTTTATTTTCAGCCATAAAAGCAGCAGCTTTTGCTTTGTAATGACGTATGGAGACAGTGGCTCAGAGGCTCCCAGGGCTGCCAGGCGCCCGCTGTCCGAGGGCTGCACCCCCCTTCTCCTCAGGCCTCGCAGGTCCCATATTTTTGCCTCACCTTCCCCTTTCTCCACGTCCGTTTTCTCTAAAAGTTTGTTGCCTTTCTTCTTATGCTTTCCTTGATGGAGGGTCTGGTCACCTTCATCAGCAGAAACATCTTCAGCAAGACCGAGTTGAGGTATGCTGCCTGCTGGACACCAAAGTCACCTTTAGTGGGCTTTCTGAGACCCTCACAACAGCTGTCCCAGGGGCCTGAGAGCCACGGCCCCTCCCCACGCCATGCAGGTAGATTTTTAACCTCAATTTTTGTCTTTATCACTGTTCCTCACTACTTCTCCAATCTAATCCTCAAAGCTAATGAACACAGGAACTTTAGACTTAAAACAAGTTTGTGGCTTCGTTGCTTAAGGCAAGGGACTACAGAGCTTGGGCGACGTCGTCTCCAGCTCAACCCTGGGGTGCGCCGAGCTGGGTGCGCCGGGGCTGAACACCCTGGTTCTCGGTACCCCCAGGGGTCCAAGGGGCAGGGGCGGTGGACCACCAATTTGTGCAAATGGAATGAAGTTTACAGAAAGCAGCTTTTCCCCAAGGGACGGCTGATCTTAGCAGTCAACAGAAGGGACCTCCGAGAGATCAACTGTTCTTCACAAAGGGTCAAAGTGAAACCTTCGTGGACCAATGGAAATCTTTCTTGTTAAAATAACCCGCCCTGCGCCCCAATGCCCTCCAGTCTACCCCTTGCTCTGCTACCCCTGTGGGTGGCTCGGCTTGGTCCCTGGGATGGGAGAGTGGGTGGGTAAGATTACAAAAAAAAAAAAAGGGCAGGCCCCACGCTGTGGTTCTTCTAAGGGCCTCTCTCAGCTGTGCATGCAAGTGGTGCAACTGACGACCTTTCAAAGGTAGCGGCTACTACTGTTTCTTATGCTTTCAGTCTTGTGTTTTACTATTTGACTTCAATGTTCTCAGTCAGGTCCATATTTAGGTAAGAACATCAGTTCTAATCCTCTGACTTCCTCACCTTCAGAGAGATCTTGGAATCTGAAAAAGAAAACAACAGAATTGCATTAAGAAATCCCTCCTTCCTGTCTTCTAAAAACATACGCACAAAACTTTTGAAAACATGGTATTTGTAATTCACCTTCTTTTCCCTCTGGAAGGGGAGGCTAACGAGCTGGTGTGACACAAAGGCCAAAAATGAAGGATAAGACCACGCTCAGTTCTCTCTCTTGTTTCTTAAGGTTGAAACGGAGTCGCTCTCTGCCTCTACTCAGCTCTCCTGGTTACCGAGCGGAGAGATACCAAGTACTGTTTGTCTGCGGGATGTTGGTGCATTAGAACACAAAGGAAGTGTGCAGGGCCGTGCGGACTTGGGGGCAGAGCCCGGGGGCAGAGGACAGAAGTCTGAGTCCAGCCCAGAGTCTGGCAGCTATGACTTGGGGCAGTTGGGCAAAGGCGGTGACTTCCCCGTGCCTGAGTTAACCTATGTGTTGAATGAGAAAATTACAGAAGCCATCTTATAGAGCATTTCTTAAATGAAATAATTTTAAGTGCTCAGAACAGTGCCAGCTCACGTGGAGTGTCAACAAACTCAGCTGTTGTATGTCATCAATCATAATACACCACAGGGCTCTGCAGTGAATTACTGGTACAGTCGTAACGACATCAACAACTTCAGCATAACCATAGTGAGAGGTGGGGGCCAGGGCGAAAAGTTACACCCCTGCCCACCTCAGTAGTGTACAGACAGGTGAAGACCTCAGCGGTACATTCACATTGCAATTGCTCAATCTACTCGTTTTAGACATCGTCAATAGACTTCTTTTCACATCATTATGAAACAGCTACAAGAGATGAGTGTGGCTGCACTTGAAGAATGGAAATGGGAAGGAGGGGGCAGCTCTCATCGTTAAACACTGCAGCGTGCGTGCGTGCGCTCACGCTATAAAAAAGCGTAAGTGGTAACAGCTCATCCTATATTTTGAGATAAATGAAAGGGCTGGACTTAAATGTGAATGAGAATCAAGAGACGTCCTCTCAATCAATACGTACTTCTTGATTAGTTTGGAGAGACGTTTCCTGTTGAAGGGAGGGGTGTTTTTCCTGTTGGTTATTTCCAGGAGTCGGTCAGCAACAGCCTTATAGTCAAACTACAAGAGAAGAGAAACTAACATAAACCCACAGCAACCCGACTTGGAAATGCACACCCACTAGAGACAGAACACGTGCAGCGTGGGACTCTGGAAGCTCTCACAGAGGACCGTCTGGACAAGCATGTGCTGAGACCTGGCAACCCAAGGCTTAAGGAAGATCTTTGAAAATCTGTTCTATTTCTTCTTGGAAGAAGCTGCCTATAATTCTTTTTTTTCTAATTGGCACTTGGTAACATAGTAAACTTTATCTGAAAAGCATTACTGAGATGACTTTGCTGAATGAAATAGAACAGATCTTAGCAATTCAAGGCAAAATAAAAACTGACCCTTTTTCAAAATTCCACCATGTTTAACTTTGTTTCCAATGAGCTCATTATGAAGAAGGTGACATTAAAGGGGTGAAAAGGACTTTACGTATTAGGCCTCAGACTTTAATCCGCTCTGACCCTAATTCCCCATTAGCCAGGCCACTCCACAGTACCTCTATCTTCTATAAAATGCAACAACTGCCACCAACCTGGAGAAGTGGCCCGATGTCCTCCATGCTGCCACCATTCTCTCTGTCCCCTTCATCACTGACTCCGTCTTTCCTGTAATGGTGTTTGCCCAGTGCTATCAAAACACAGCCAAAGACAAACTTCTTTAGTTACACAGCAATGTCTACCTCTGAAGGAGCCACCGTCTAATTATGTGTCTCTCGGTGAGAACAAAAATTTCTTTAAAGAGAAAAACCCTGCAAATACATTTATAAGTTCTCAAAGATGATATGGTTTTCCACTCCCCTGGACATGAAAACACTGCTGGGAGCAATCACAAATTCTCTTTTAAGTCCATTTCAGACAAGCTCCATGGCCTGCCACGCTGCCCAGTGCAGCCAGTGTCCTCGTCAGATGGCGGTGGGGCACAGCTGCCCCTAGGCCGGGGCTCGGGCACAGTGGGCCCTGGCCTGTGGGGGGGCGAGCGGGGAGAGAACTCGTGAGCCTGTGATGGACTTCGGGCCGGCTGGGGCTGTAGTAAAAATCTGTGCCGTGTCATACCAGCTTCACGGGGCTGCCTTGCGAAACATGAGTTAATACAATCAAGCAAATTTTAACATCAAATAGGTAACTCCGAGCATGAAAGCCCATGAAAATGTAGATAAAAATCACTAGTGACAACGTAATGTTTCAAACTCGCACTAGTTTGGATTCCTAAGAACTCACTGGTGGTGTGGGCTCGGGGCACAGTGAAGGCGCACCGGGTTCCACACTGCAGGCGGCAGGCGCGCCCAGAGACCACTGCCGTGCCCGCACAGAATTTGTCCCGGGTTTTTATGTAGTATGTCATCCATGTGGGATTTAAAATAAACATGTTTCTTCTTTTCCTTTTTGTTTTTTTGTTTTTTTTCCTGATTGGAAAATAATATATGATCAATTTGGAAAATCTAGGAAAACAGACAAAAGTACAAAGCAAACAGAAGTCACTCACAACTCTGCCATGTCATGAGAGCATTTTGATACATATTCTCTTAGACTATTCAAGGCACATGGAAATGTTAAAACAAACCAGCCCTGGCCGGGTGGCTCACTTAGTTGAAGCATCGTTCTCTGCGCCAAAAGGTGCGGGTCTGGTCCCCAGTTGGGGTGCGTACGGGAGGCAACTGATCACTGCTTCTCTCCCTCCCTCCCTTTCTCTCTCAAATCAGTAAAAACCTATCTTTGGGTGAGGACAGAAAAAAAAAAAAAAAAAAATCAGGCTCTACCACATAGAGTTTTGTGTCCTGCTTGCAAAAATGTTATTAAATGTCCTCTGGTCATTGTTGTTGTTGTTGTTGTTTTTTTTTTGAAAACTCTGCTTTTCAATGGCTTTTTAACATTTCAGAAGGATGGGTATGCCCGGACCATGCATCGCGGCTGCACACCAAGATGCTGTGAACCGCCGCCGGAGTTCTGACGGGCTGTGCCTTAAACTGCACTCCCACACGGCTGCGTGGACTTAGGACAGGGGTAAGAACGGTGGCAGCCCACAGCAGGCATTCAGACACCTCAGGAAAAAGAACCACAAGGGAGCTCAGAGATCAGAAAGGCTCCAGAAACAAGTGTGCCCTCACAAAGAACTGCACATTAGGTCTCCTGACGTTAGGGGAGGTTTCAGTCTACACTAGAAGGTTTAAATACAACAATTTCCAGTCCACATTAGGATGTTTAAATATAACAAAAAAGCCAAAACAATGAAAACGAAAGCAACAGCAGCAACCATGATAAAACACTCAGAGGATGTTCCACCACCCGGGGAGACAGACTCGTGGGTGAGGCACAGGTCTTCCCCAGAGGACCCCTGAACGCGATCGGGGCTTTGAAATATGCGCCTGCTTCCCGCCTCAGGGGACGGCCAAGGCACCTGATGAATTCTAGGTTGTCCTCAATGAGATCCCAACCAACGGATTACACTGTGTTTGTCTGATGAGGACTTTACCTAAAAAGAGAAACACTCAAGAAAATCCTCTTACCTGTCTTCTTACTGATTGTTTTTCTCCATGCCACCTCGTTTCCGGCTCTCTCTTCTTCAGAGAGGTCGCTGTCGCCCACTTTAGTTTGCTGTTCCTCTGTTGTCTCTTCAGGTACAAAAGGAGACTGATCTACAATGACTTCAAAAACACCCCTAGCTATAGTCTGCACCAATGTATGGCTGAGGGGGAAGCACAGCAAAGAGGACGTGATTAAAACCGATGGTCTGGACCTCAGCATCTGAGGGCGGACAGAGGGACGAGAGCAGCAGTCACCGAGCCGCCAGCCGGCGTCAGCCTGCCTAGGACCTGGCGGGATCCATCGGCTGCTCCGCAAGCACTTGTATTGCTAAGTACCCTTCTGGGCTAACCCAGTGGGGCTGCAAGGAGCCAGCCAAGGGCTGTGTCGGAAGCAGTGGGACAGATGGACAGCAGACTGAACTCTGGTGGGGGAGGGTGTGATTCTTGGAATGACTGGGGTCAAACAGCAAAGCTAGATGAGCTGAATTGTGACTCGAAACTTCAAACATCTTGCCATTGGAAATTAAGCATCTGGCTGGTCTCAGCTTTGACAACTATCCCAGGTACCTTGTATCATGCTTTACAATACAAAACAATACTGCCCCCCCACCCCCGCCAATTAAACACCAATTGCAGGAATAAATTACATGCAGATCACTTACTCTTTGGTCTTGGCAGCAATTTTGCAGAATGGATCAATAAATTTGAGATTCTGATCAGCCAAAAGCTGTGATTTAGAAATAAAATAGGCAAAAAGAAATTAAAATGAGGGGAAAAAGGAACCTCTTCTCCTTTCTGACAGGTCCTTAAAAGGGAACCACTGGCTTTATTCACAGAGGCTCAACCAGACCGAGTGGCACTCGCAATGCCCAAAGGCACTGTGCACGAACTGCCCAGGTGCCAGAGCCAGGCTGAGGGTGGTTGGGGCCGGGCGTCTCAGCACGGTGACCGCACAGCGCCGCTCCATGCGGCCTCCTCTAGGGCGTGGTCTGTATAAATACTGTCAGAGCCTGTGATGAGGGGTTATTTTTTAAATAAAACATGTACTTTGATTAAAAAAACAAAACAAAAAACCCCTGTTCAGGACCGAGTGGGACCGAACACTTGTGGAGGAAAAAAAAAAGGTAAAAACTGCTCACAATCCCAAATTCAGAAAATCACTTGCATGTTAACCAATGTTCCTTTCCAGCCCTTCGTCTCCTCCATTCCCAGCTCCCAGCAGCATCTGAGGGACGGCCAAAGCCCCGTTCGGGTTAGCTGTGGTCTCACCACACTGCTGGTGGATGTCGGGCGGTTTCTTACCTCTTTCCCTCCCACTTTGGATAGTTCATCCAGATAAATGTCAATGAAGTGGAATTTCACTCCATTAGGAGACTGACTCTCAGGGTGCAAGACTTCCTTCATCAAGACATCGAGAAAAAGCTTGATTTGGCTAGAGAGAACACAGACGGGTTTATTAACTGCGGCATGCCAACACCTTTCTCCCCGAGGGAAGATGTAATCTTCCGTCTCGTGATACATTGCTCCATAAACCAGGAGAGGCTGAGAAAGTCTTACAAGGGAAAAGCAACTACTGAAATCACAACAAAAAGCTGTTAGGTGCGCTCAACTCTTCCACATTGTTCCACTGGATTTTAAGTTCTTCACGCAAAAGGGGCTTTTGCCTCTCACAGTTCGCAACAGAGCGGAAGACACAGGCCAGGCAATTCGAACTTGCTGGTTAACGGAAAGGCTTGAAAGACACACTCTTCCTTTAAGAGTTTTCAGTCCACCCCATGGTAACCCTAATAGTTCACCAACCTTTCTTCCCAGCCGTTCCGCTTCAGAACTTCAAAGGACTCTCTCAGGACCAGACGGATCAGCTAAAGACAGACAACTTGTGTTACAGAAGGAAAGGACGAGCAACTGGTCAGCTTAGCAGAGTGAGGCCGATGACACAGGGGTGGCCTGGATCCCCAAATGAAGAAATAGCCACAATAATTATGTTTAACTTCTAGAACCTAAAAGGCTACCGAAAGATCCCCAAACTCACCCCCGAAGACTAAAAGGGACAGAGGCCCCTGCGCCCAGGTTCAAAGGTGTATAACGTTCACTCTGTCTTGTCGCCTCGGCAAGCCTGGAACTTACTTTGCTTCACAAACCAACCTTCCGCAGCTCTTAAAGTGCCGAAGGCACTCTCCCTCCCACGAGCCTCTGCAGTAACGGGGACGAAGGCCTGCTGCTCTCACCATGTAGAACTTGTCCAGGCGCAGCCTGTCGATCCCCTTCCACTCTCGGTTCACGGTTTGCCAAAAGGTCTGAACGAACAGGTGCTCTGCAGTGAACAAAAGGTCTGAGCGCCTGGGTTTCAGGTTAACATATTGCCGTATAGTGCAAAAGGAGTGAAGAAAAACAATCTAGGATTATTCATTATTTATTTTTCTCAAGAATTCTTGGATTGCTAGAAAATTTGGTCAATCATTAAACACCCTCAATAATTTCTTTTACATATAAGTAAAAGCACGTTACAGCAATAGGAAGGCAGGACATATCCTTTCAAAAAAAAAAATTTTTTTTAATCCTTGCCCAAGGATACGCCTATTGATTTTAGAGGGAAGGGAGAGGGAAACATCGATGAGAGGGAAAAGCATAGATTGGTTGTCTCTCGCACGCACCCCGAATGGGGCCTCAACCCATAACCTAGGCATGTACCCTGACCAGGGACTGAACCTGCGACCCTTCGGTTTACAGGACAATACCCCAAGCAAATGAGCTACAGTGGCCAGGGCAATACTGGTAATATCTTAATGCCCAATTAGAATGCTCTCTGGGACATTTTTCTTTATCTACTGAAAGTCATGTTTCTAAATCAAAAGATTTTCTGAGGCAAGTCTATTGGTCTTTTCCACCCACCTATAGCTACCAATCCAAAGCCAGTAATTTTGATGGACACTTGGACCACCCACGTAGACATTCAGCTTTTTGTTTCATGTTCAGTGTCAGCTGGGTGAGCGATATAATAAAACATTCTATTTTTCTCTTCTGAACCACGAAACTAGGGTTCTGTCCAAAATTTTTTTAATTTTTTTGGTCCCTTCTTTTTGCACAATACTTTCTTGATACCTGAAAACCTATTCTATATCCCATGTGTAGAATTCTGTTCATTACATGTCAGCTGAGACTCGGCTAAAGTTCAGAGAACCATGGAGGGTTATGAAGGCTATTGGGATGTTTTGTTCTCAGGCGTAATGAGCAGAACAAACTCATTCTGCTGTCTCTTTCGTCCTCTGTAGGTAATCAAAGCCTGAGTGTCCGGAAGTGTCTCCTTTTGTTCATTTTTGATAAAGGGGGTTACTTTACAGCTTATTCCCAGTGACAGCCTTCAATGGCCCTAGTTCTGAGGATAGACCTGGCGTTTGGGGTCACAGCGCCCACTGGCACATGCATACATAGCCTCTAGGACTCTTAAGTCTTAAAGTGACTCAGAATGTGGAGGTTCTGGAGGATTATTATTTAAAATATACTTTGGAAATCTTTTTTTAAAAAAGATTTTATTTATTTATTTTTAGAGAGAGGGGAAAGGAGGGAGAAGGAAACATCAATGTTGTGGTTGCTTCTCGTGCGCCCCCTACTGGGGACCTGGCCTGCAACCCTGGCATGTGCCCTGACTGGGAATCGAACTGGTGACCTTTTGGTTCACAGGCTTGCACTCAATGAACTGAGCCACACCAGCCAGGGTATTTTGGAAATCTTTCAGTAGTCCAATATAATATTCCACAAGATACCTCCTTCATCCTCCTTGAGAGTCAACACCCAAGTTTATCATAGTTTCTTCCCATGGGAAAAGTTTCTCGCCTTATATCTGCACACTGACAGCCTCAGGTTCACGTTAAATTGAACCACTGGAAGATGGAAACTTGGGAAAAAGGGTGAAGAAATAACATGGACTAGATACCCTGGGCAAGTTACCAAATCTGAAAAGCGAAGATGTTTGGAAAGTCAAGAAAACATCAGGACTTACGGGCCTCTGGGTTGCTAACAGCGTGGACGAGCTGGGAAATCGTGTTGGCTAGCTCCTCCTGTAAGGGGGCAGGGGAAACATGGGTGAGCACGGGGCAATGCCGAGGTGACGGAACCACGGCCGGCACTCCTCCCCTGCCTGCTGGCTGGGGATGGGGGAGTCTGTACCACTGTTTTCTTTGTCACTTCCACGAAGGAGAGTGTATGCGAATATGTGAATTTTATCAAAATTCATATAAATGCGAAATCCTCAACTTCCATGTATCACCGTGCCCATTTCCTGTGCCTCTGAGATGTGTTTAAGCTGTGTGTTTGAAAGAGTACCTCTCGTTATCTGTTCAAATGACCTACAGAAGAATTAAATTAGCTGTCAATCCTTGGCTTTAAAAGCATATTAAAGCTTAACTTGAGATGTTTATCCCAATCCCCCCAGTAACAGAAACACAGGTGCCCCGGAAGCAGGTGTTGCTGCAGTCAGACCTGGGACTGTCGCAGCGGGAATCTTGGTGAGTGGGACCAGCAAGTGCCCTCCTTGGCTGGCACAGGGAATGGCGCCCCCCAAGCTCTGTCCTGGGCAAAATGCCGCTGGACACGCAAGCCTGTCTGTGGGGAGGACCTGGTTGTCCGGGCCTGTGAGGACACCTGCCTTGGGGAGTGTCACCAAAGGGGTTCTGCTGGTGAGTTATGCAAGGAGAGGCAGGCCCTCGTCACCGTTTGCGCCTGGGCCGGCCTCGGGTCCCCCCCAGCCGTTTCCAACGAACTCCCCAGGCTCCAGAGTGATGTTCCTGCCACGTTTTCTTCCTCCACTAAAGATGCTGGCTGTTACTTCTGAGTGTAATTTTAAAATATTTTGCCTTGCTATCCTACTCAAAATGTGTTCAGGGAAGTAAAAGTGGCAACATCGTGCCTTCAAACCTAGACAAGTAAAATCTCCCCGCAATGTGTCTTATACATCAGGGGGCTTCCAATGGCATTTCAGGGTGTATCCCTCTGCTGTGCTTTAACACATTACAATGGAGCTCTTTAAACAGCGAAAATCGTTTTTCTAAATAGTTGTGCTGGGGGTGCCCAGGGCACTTGGAAGACGGGGTCCAGATGCACATGCGCATCTGTGCTGAGTCCCTGCTGGCTTCAAGGGTGGGAGCCTCCGACAGGGGTCCACCAATGGCTCTGTGAAGGCCCTGACCCCAGTGAGGTCCTGTCCAGTTCCGGGCACCCCTTCCACTGTGGCAGCGGTTGGCCTGGAGCCCGGGCCACTCACGGGTTCTTGGACTGGTGCTATCACAATGATATTTTTGACCATAAATAACGGTAAGCTAACAAAAACTTAATGTAAAAGCTACTATGAAACTGTGGCAGAGAAATAATAAATCTTTAATTTATGAGTATTCTTATTATTATTTGAACAGATATTAACCTCAATGTTGAGACACTGCATCCCTTTCTGTATGACAAGAGGTGACAGGGAATCCTTGAAGCAATGTTTTTCAGCTCGGCACGCTAGGGGACTGCTACAGCAAGTCTCTCATCTCGGTACACCAAAGACCCCGTAGGACACAGCGAGGCGCCTGTTACCTGCAGAAGGGGCTCGTCCTGCACCCACATGCAATAGAAGAGTCCTTTCCATATTTTTAGAAGTTCTTCTTGACTGAAACCTCCTGGAGGGCAAAACGGCACAAAAATCTTATTTCAGAGACTTCACATTTCCTTTCTTAAAGTTCAGAACTGCCACATAAGCAGGGAGAATAACACCACATACATTTTCATCTGCAAAGGCCTTTTTTGTTTGAAGCACACATCTCCTCATTGTTACAAAAGAAACACATGTTAATTATACAGTCTCATCAGCTGTGGAGGCAGGATGGTAGTGATGGCGTGTGCCCGTTACCTGAGTAATGTAAGGAAGCAAATGCCATCACAACAAGAAAACTAATGGGGTGCTCATTTCTAAAATGAGTTCCCCAAAGTGCCTCTCTTGTTTACACTATCGCCTCGCCCTGCACACCAACATTTTCATTGGTCATGCAAAGTGAAAGTGAAAATCCTACAAAATATGCAGCATTTGCTTACGTCTCATACAGCTGGTCCCAGGGAGAGCAGCAAAGCTGTGAGGCATTTCTGCTAAGATGACCCTTTTAAGGATCCTGCTATGAGGCCACACTTGGCTGTACCGTGATCTCCCTGCTCCCATTTATGGTTTTAATTTACTGCGCAACTTCAGTCTTGTTTTAACTGGCACGACCATGGTTGGCCTTGCTCTCATTACTTCAGCCCTGCACCTCTGCCTGTACCACCTACGGCCAAGCCACCGAACATGCATGTCTTCTGTCTGTTGGGTCAACCCCAGATGTCATGGAGTAATTGCTGAGTGACATCAGCAATCATACAATCAGGTAAATGTAAACTTTTGGAGTTTTCAAGCCTGTGGAGAATAAACCGACCCTCAAGTCTTAATGCATCTTACAAATGGTCTTTATTAATATTGCACTAGGAGGTACTAACGTCTTTAGGAGCAGCAAACTATGATGGACTAGGGAAATGTAACAAGTATATATTCGGAATCAATGTGATTTCAGTACTCCAAAAGATAGTTAAAAAGTGACAAAAAGTGACAGACATCCTTCTGATGGACTGAATGAAGTTTAATTAGCGCATTCTGAGTGAGATTTTACCTTAACGGATACTGACTTCCAAGTTACTAAAAACTTATTACATCAACTCTTTTTGTTACGGTGCATTTTCTTTTTGATATTCTTTCTTAAAACCAATATACCGGAAACCATAGTAAAATTAGTTTATTAAAGTTCATTTCCTTTAGAGGTTGGGCAAATGATGGTGCCAATTGGTTTTTCTCTCCTCTTGCTACAAACAAACTGCACCTGGGGATCTGCCTTTCGAGAACGCAACGCAACTATGGTGTGAGCGACCAGTTCCAGCAGAACTGAGCCCACTGTAGTTCCGATCATCATTCTGCCATTGGAGCCTGTGCTCATATTCATTGATGTGAAGACTAATGAATCAGTGGACCTGGGCAAGGATCACCAATGGCTGCTAAAACACTCAATTAAAAATTACTGAGAACTTTAAAATGGATAAATCAGACCAAGAACACACAAGCCCATTGGTCCATCTCAGCTCGCAAAGATCAGCAACTATTGATTCAATGCTGGATGCGCTGCATTAGGGAAAACACAGCACCATCTGCTAAGTAATCTCACAAAAATGAAAAAGCTGCTGTGGGGGTTCGGAATGAGTCACCAAAGATGTGTCTCTGTGGTGTGTGTTCTGAGCTGAAGGTAACCGAGACTCCGCAGCCTCAAAAGAAACTCTTTCCTCTCCCTTAACGAATTTGTATTACGGCCCTTAGTCATTAAATATCACCAGAAATAACTTTTGATCTATCTACAGGGCAGGACAAACTACTAATTCCTGGACACCTGCTCTTTTTACCCCCTGGGGTGACCCTCCTTGCCTCTGAAGTTCCGCGAGCCTTCTCTCCCCCCGAGCTGGGAATGTCACACACACCTATACTTCATTCTGTCTCTGAACCTCTCCTGTATGTGGGGTCCCTGACTTTCTCATGTATATGGGGTTCCCACATATACATATGTAATAAAATTTGGTTATTTTCTCATTAACCTGTCTCCCTTCGATTTAATTATCAGACCAGCCACACACAGAGGAGTAGAGGAAGGTTCCTTCCTCCCCCACACTAACCTACATCTCGTCACATCTAGCTATTAACACCAGTTTTCAGGAAACGCAGGGGACAGAGAAACATGTCAAACGAGACCATGAGATGCCGACAGCAAAACCCTAAATGTGGGAAACTCTACAGGTCAAATGACCCAGTTTCTCCAACAAATATATTGCATTAAAAAAAAAAGATGGATAAGAACTGTTAGAATTTAAGTTTCAACAGACATATCAACGAAACGCAATGGATAGGTCATGTATGAATTCTGATTTGTCATTTAAAAAATTATGAAATAACAGGAAAAATTAAACAGTTTAAATATTTCATAGTAAGAATTTCTTTTAAAGGATGTGATGATGGTGCTGTGGTTATGTTAAAAAAAGAGTCCTTGTCTTCTAGAGATACGTCCTGAGTATCTGGAAACGAAGAGAGGTGTCTGGGACTCGCTTAACGATGTGGTGGGAAGGAGGAAGTGGGCAGATTAGACAAACTGGCCAGGTCCTGAGAAATGCTGAAGCTGACTAATGAGTAGGCTTTTAATATATCTGAAATACTTCTTAATAAAAAGAACCCCACCCCCAAAAAGACCCCAAACTGTGATGTTTCTAAAGTGTCACTATGGGCTCCTATCATCCTTCTTGTTTAGAAAACTCTTCATCATAATGAAATTAGAAAAACATGAATGCCGATGAACTGGATTTAGACGACGCTGGTTCCGCACGCGGCGTCACACTGGGCATCGCCTGCTTCTGCCGGGCAGCCTCACCTTCCTCCCCTGCAGGACCGCCACTGTAAGGCAGGGCCAGTAGAACCAGGCAGCAGTCTGGGCTGGATGTGCCCGTGTGGAGGTAGAGCCATGTGCTGAGCTCACACCAAACCAGCACAGGTCCCCTCGGCCATGGCACTGGTTCAAGACCAGACTCCCCACAGATGAAGACCCCCCGGCTCAGGCTTTAGGAAAGTCTCCCGTTCTCTCCTGGTAGACTTCTGAGGAGACAGTTTAGACCTGCACTCAGACACCCTGCCCCGCAACGGGGAGCCTGAGAATGAAACCAATCAGGGAGGTGGGGGCGGGGGGGTGTATGGAGCAGAGTCTGCTAGAGGGAAAAACTGGGCCTGGTGTCTTTAGCTGAGCTCTGCATGCAGCTATTTCTGTCCCCCCCCCCCCGCCCTAAATCCAGAGTGGCTTGGATGTTTTGTCAAGTTGCAACTGTGAGGAGTACTAACCAATAAAAAGGTTTTCAGTGCAAAAAATTCATATACTACATCGTCATACAACCAAAAGGGATTTGTTTGCTGCCTCCCAAACCCCAGGCTCCTCCCAGAGGGACCACTGGAATCTAACTGATGTGCATCTTCCCAGATTTTTCCTATGCATTTACTTACACATGACACAAACACACAGTTGCATGTGTACGTGTGAGAACGACCTAAACCGCATCACATGTTCTACATATTCTGCGTTCTGGCTCTTTTCACTAAAAAGTAACACAGTGTACTATCTCCAGATGGTTCTTCCAAGCACACCAAAATCTCAAACTACCTCTAAGCGATAATTTATCTCTCTGGACAACCTACACCTTCAATGGGTGAAGGTACAGAATGATATACCAGAGGTTTCCGTAATTGAAAACAGATTTCAACAAAGTAACCGTGATTAATAGACCCTGTATACACAGGAAACCGTCCATTTTGATAGTTTCATCCTATGAGAGGCAACAAAGTAGTACAGTGGAAACAAACCCTTAGCTGGGCCTCAGCTTGCAGCTTGCCAGCTGCGCAGAACTGTCACTGACCCGTTAGCTGGCCTGCTTCTTCACCTGTAATACACAGATGAGAAGTAACGCCCTCCTGAGTGTGGCTTGCAGGGTAATAACATGGGTGTAATAATTTACAGTTTTAATTTGAACATTTCACCTAAAATGTCACCAAGTGTACTTGTGCGTGATATTGTTATGTTACAGAATTACATGCTTATGATTTTGTAATCAAAAAGGGGCATTATTTGTGCTGGACCCTGTGTATAATGTTTGATTCAGACCAAAATTAAGAGCAAGTATAAGACGCATTTTGTAAGAGCAAAGCACTGTTCAAGTAGGATCGTCTCACATTCCCTATCCATTGGCTGTTGAAGCTCTTCTTTCATTTTAAATATCTATTTTCAACATAAGTATAAAAACCACTTGTTTTCACCCAGGAACTAGCTGGTAAAAATAAGGTACAAATTTTTGAAGCATCTTAGGCAAAACAGAGAAATGTTCATTATTTAATTTCTTTCAAAACTCTGAAGGTGAAGTATTGAGTTGGCCAAAAAGTCTGTATGGTTTTTTCCCATAAAATAAAAGACACGTTTTTCATTTTCACCAATAACTTTATCGATTTGGGTATTTTGGAAATGCTGGCTATCTCCCATGTGGTTTAACATTCGTTCTCAATGTCTCAGTTTGATCGCTATCAACTTCAAATGGTCTATCCAACTGTGGAGCTATGTTCAGTGAGAAATCTCCAGCATGAAACTTTGCAAACCACTTTTGACATGTTCAGTCTGTGACAGCACCTTCTGTATACACTGCACAAATATTTTTTGTGTTTCAGTTGCCTTTTTACCTTTCTTGAAATACTAAAGCACAATATGCCAAAAATGTTGCACATTTTCTTCCATCTTTAATATTAAAATGGCTACACAGAAATTCACCAATTTTGGTTTTTGTTTTAAAAGCAGGCTGCTATGACAGCTGTCACGATACAATCTAACAAAATTGTTCTGAATGAAGTTTAAGACAACTAAGTGCTACTAGAGCCATCTTATATAAAAAAACCCCAAACAAACTTTTGTCCAACCAAAAAATATCCAAAACGGTTTTGTTCCACAACTGCTTCTCGACCTGTCTTTTCTTTGGGGGCTGAGATTCTTAAACTTAATACAATTAAGTTTCTGACAAAAATATAAGTTTAGTTAGTTTCAAACAACTGAAGTGAAATGAAAGTGAGCAGTGGATGTAGGAAATACCCAGCTTTGAAATGAGAAAATCCAACAGCCTGTCTCACCACGAATGAGCAGGGGGGCCGTTTCAGCCGGGGGTGACGTGACATACTCGAACCTCCACCTGTGTCAGAACAGGTCCAGCTCCTGGTCATTAGCACTGCTGGGTCGAGAGAAGCCCTAAAACTACTGGTATGAAAAAACACTCATCTCTCCCATTATTGCCACAAATCTAACCCCCCAGCTGTAAGGTGCACTGTTACTTTACGTGCCACCAGAAGAAGGCAAGAATGCAAATTAAAGTTGCAGAACTGATAAGACAGGAAGGGGGTTTTGTCTTTTGTTCACAGCTGTACTCCCAGTGCCAAGAATAGCGTGTACAGTAATAAAAGCACACAGGGAGCACTCTGTTCATATCTGCTGCATATGAGAACGAGAAAGGAAGGACAAACAAGCCCTCCTGAGTAAAATCACAGTGGTCGTTCTATGGCTGGGGATACGCAGCATGAACAGTTAAAGCACTAGGGCAACATTTAGATGTCAGAAGCAGCACAGAGACTTCTAATTGGTTTTTAAAAACACACAACTATGCTGCTGGTGGAGAGTGTATGTACCTGTAAGAGTAGAATCTCAGATTCTCTTTACTGTGCCCAAGACAAGATGCAAACAAGTATGAACCCTGTCAATGATATGCAAACGTCAGGCCGTTATTTCCATACTTGTTCCTTGGATGGAGCACAGCTCTCGCAGGGACCTTCCTTATTTTGCCCCATCATCACGGTCTATAAAATTCACTCTGCAGGTAGCTCTTTGAAGGCCCATTATACTCTGTGCAGTGTGAATACCGCATTGAACAAGAGGTAGCCGACAAGTGACTGCAGGTGTGATGGGTGCTGACCAAACAAAACCCTGGGGCACTGATGTAAATCCACAGCCCCCCCCCCCCCCGTTCCTGCCTCAGCGTTTCAGATCCTGGACCTGCCCACCAAAGGCGTGTGAGCAACGGGCTCTTTCTCAGCCCCATATGCACTGCACCTGCCCTTTCTTCTGTTTTCGTATACAGCGAGGCCCTTGTGAGCGTGGCTGTGCTCCCACTTCCAGCTAAGAAAACAGAGGGAAGCTCACAGCATTGGGGGGAAGGCTGACACACTGACAGGTAATTAACAAGCAATGTGCGTAAGTGCTGCAACAGCGCAATCTGGGTATTTCAGAATCCTAGAAGAGTAGGGGTGAGAGGGAAAGTGATACCCCATACTGGGAGCGGATCAGGGGTGGGAATCTCTGAGGTGTGTGCTGGAGAAGCAAAGGCAGGGAGCTGAGAAGTGGGTGGTATTGTCCAGCAGGACCCAGGAATGGCCTGCTGTTGATGGAGCATGAAGCAGCCACACTGGGGCAGCGGTGGGAGAGGGGACGTGAGATCATCCACAGACCTGGATTCCCAGGAAGGTGGTGACGTGTTTCATGATGACTCTGGGCTGGTTTTAGGAAGATGGGCTCAAGCCTGGATGCGACACAGACGGAGCGGCAATTCAGGAGGCGAATCGGGCAGGACCAAGGGACACTGGGTGCGGGGCGAGGCGGCAGGGGGGATGCGGAGGTTGGAGAGGATGAGGAAGAGAGGAGTCTAGGACAGTACTATATACCAAGCTAGTCTGGGTGGACGGTGGGAACAAAATGAGAGAGCACAGGTGCCAGATGGGCCCTAGAAGAAAACAGGTTTTGGGGGAGAAGAAAATGAGTCACTTTCAGGCATTCCGAGTCTGAGGTGCCCGTGGGACATCCCGGCAGAGATGCCAGGCTAGCAAGGCAATGCTGAGCTGAAGTAGCAAAGGCCTGGGCTAGAAATTTAGGTTTAACAGCCTTCAATTTATTTGGAATACCTGAAACTATAAGAGTAACTTAAGTCTGTCAGAGAGAGCCTCACAAAGTTGAAGTCGGAAATTTTGGTCTTCATTCCTCTTTCTAGCAAACTTCCCATGAAATTGTATTTTCTTTTTCCAGGGTGGCCTTTTTGTGATTTCTCTTCTACATAAACTGACAATATCAGTACAGGGAAGACATCTCTTCTTTGAAGTAGACCCTGAAAGTATTAGTAAATAAACCAAACTTTATCTTAGTGCAAGAGAAAAACCTCCATTCATATTGCAGCTCACACCTGGCGAGGGGTGGGGGGAGGAGGGCAGCGGCATAAGGATGTATAGAACACTTCGCATCAGGTAAACAAAAATATTCAAAAGCACCTACTGCAGTTAAAATGCAACTACAATCCTCAACAGGACCCGGCCTCACCCACCCTGACCCACTGGTCTCTTTCAGCCATTCCTCGAGCACGTCCCGCTCTTCCTCCCGCCTCTGTTTAGCTATGTTGAACACCACCCCAGCGTGGCCTTCCTGGACCAGCCTACGTAGATGAAGCTCCGTCCTTCTCTGATCTCCATTTCCGTTACAACACTATACAAGCTCCACTTCAGTGATCTCCCTTCTCAGCTCCACGAGCCCAGGTTCCTCTAGGGTAGGGATTGTCTTCTCTCTCCTAATCTCAGCTCCTAAAGGTATTGGTCTGATGATGGCGTGAACCGATGAGCACTGCAAGATAAAGCAGGCTGAGCCTAGTACTTAAAGTACAGGCGCCGGGTCGGACAGACATTTTCAGCTTCCTCACTCCCTGTGACTTCCAGCAGGCTACCTAACCCCTGTCGGCCTGTCCCTCCAACGTAAAACCGGACTGGACCCTGCAGGAAGCTCTGCCCAGGGTGCGGACACACAGAAGCACGCGGTAGGAGCGCGAACCAGCGCTCCGCGAGCGGCTCAGCGCCGGTCCCGCCGCCATGTGGCGTGGCTGACCGCCGGGCGCCCACCTGTCTCCTTCTGAGTCTTCACGCTGATGTACTGGCGCAGCTTCTTCACCGCCCGGTCCCGGATGCCCTTCTCGTGGGACGCCAGCCGCTGGGCGAACTGGATCTCGGCCGGCTGCATGGCGGGGGCCCTGGTGCGCTTTGGAACATCCCCGGCGGCACCTCGCCACCCCTCAACCTCCCGCCGCCACGGAGCGACTGCTGCCGTGCCGCTCCGGCCGCGACTGCGCAGGGGAGTGTGGCGAAGCGCGGGATGATGGCGTCACAAAGGCGCCGGCAGCGGCTCGCAGCGCGTTCTGGGAGCGAGCGCGGAGGACCCTGGCACCTGACGAAACAACCCAGGGCTGGTTTGCGTTGCCCCTTCCAGCCTCCACTGCCTTTCAGTAGCCAAAGCTCGGGGCTGTTGACAGTGAAGTTAGGCAGGGTTGGATCTTGGTCTGGAAGAGTTGGATGGCCAATTGTATATGGTCTGGAATCTCTAAGTACACTGAAAACAAAACAAAACAAAAATCATTTCGTTGGCAGCTGTTCTACAAAATACACTGCACCAAGTTTTTGGTTGTGTTAAACTTCTTGGACCGCGTCCGCAGGTGGAGACTGAGAAGAAGGACCGTCCTTCACATTCTTGGCGGGATGCTGGGGGCAGCCCCATGGGCAAGCCTCTGCGGGCCATTGCAGGCAGCGCCCCTCCAACTTGTCCAGTGTCTTGGTCTCTCTGCTGGCACAGTTCCCGGTGCGGGGGGGGGGGGGGGGGCGGGGGGGTAGAGGGGCAGGGCAGGTGATAGCAGATCCTGGGGGCAGAGGGCAGGTCCCTGTGCGGAGGCAGGTCCTTGTGGCAGAGGAAGGGGCAAGTGCAGGCAGGTCCCTGGGTAGGAGTGGGTAGAGATTTGGAGCCTGTGCTCAGAAGACCACCCTCAGGTCTGGAGAGCACATACTCCACTCTGGGGACTTGGCAGTGTCGGTTTCCTGAGGGTTTCAAAAACAGACGAAGTCTTAGTTGTTGAGTAAGCCAGTACATTTGAACTCAGGCTGCACCATATTTTCTAAACTCAGTGGGACTAATGGGGCAAGCAAATGGACTAAGTGATGTCTCCAAGTTTACGGTGGTCATCTCGATTTTAGCCAGCTGGCTGGACTAACGCTATCAGGGGCACGCTTCCTGTGAAGCCTGTTGTCCAAACGCTTCCACCCTTGCTAATGGAGTCTAGAGCGGGTGGCAATTTCCTTTAACGCATCGCCCCTTAGTCTAGCATCTCTCGCCAAACAGGAAAGGCCCGATTCTATTTATTTCACTTGCCACTTATACCTGAGTATTACTGATCTCCCACTTTGCAGTTAACAAGTTTAAAACCGCAGCTAGGCCAGAAAAGCGGAAGCGGAATCTAGCTGATCCCATTCCCGGTTCGCAGTGCAGAAAACGCTGCTCTACGAGGTTTGAGCCTCGCCGCTCTCCATAGCCGTCTACAGCGTCGTGGGCACGTTCCCGCACTTTCTGGCGTGTGGGGTCGGAGGGCGCGCCGCTGCGCAGGCACAAAGAGCCGGGGCCCTGACGGCCATGGGCGAGGCAGGCGGCGTTGAGGAGGCCTGCGAGGTCAGTGAGGAGGCCCTGGGCCGCCGCCCTTGTGTCTGAACTGCCATCATTTGCTTCCCTGCGCCGTAGCGCGGTCTGTGTGGGCCTAGGCCAGTGCACTTAGGAATGGCCTTGGGCCTCCTTGGTGGATTCCGTGGCCTGGCCCAGGACAAGGGCCAGCAGGCCCCGCCTCTGACACCGAAGTTGCGGGTCCTTGCAGCTGCGTGGTTGGGCGGTGGGTGCGCGAACGGGGGCGGGGGGGACGGGGCGGTGGGGATGATGGTGGTTCCCCTCAGACACCCACAGCCGACCCTTCCTGCGAGGCTGTGACATTTATGTCAGGGTTTAGTGTAGCTTCAGAGTTATCTCGACGTCACTTCCACTGCACGTGAGGTAGAAGGACCTTGGTTCTGTCCCCTGTTAATGGCAGTACTTTGAGAAAGTGATCCAGCTTCCTGTTTCCGGCTTGGACAACCTTGAAGCGTTGTGGTGGACACTAAATGGAGTGGCCAGCCTTGGCCACCCAGTGGGAATCCTTTCCTCCCGATTAACTTGGCATTGAAACGCTAAGGAAAAGCTGCTGGCGTTTTCTCTGACTTTCAGGCATAGAGCGTATGCACTTAGAGAAACAGCTCCCATTCTGAAGGCGGGGGCGGGGGGGGGGGGGGGGAGGCGGGCGTTCAGCTCTAAGAAGTACCATAAACAGCGGAGGGCACCCTAGGTAAAGATGTAAATTTGACGCTATGAACAATTGAGGTATTAGAAAGGAAGGGAGCTGACAGGCTGCTGGAGGGAAATGTAATAACCTGAAGATCTGCTCGTTCTTTTAGCTCATGGGAACTAAAGAAGAATTTGTTAAAGTCCGAAAGAAGGACCTGGAACGGCTCACAACTGAAGTGATGCAGATACGAGACTTCTTACCCAGGATACTGAATGGGGAAGTACTGGAAACCTTCCAGAAATTAAAGATTGTGGAAAAAAGTGAGTCTTACTTCATCCCTAGCAGCCATCATTGGTGACAGCAGTCTGTTCCAGCACGTTTAGTTTACAGAGAAAACTGGGAAGTACTGGATTTTGCTGTGTATAACGTGTTCCTGTGTGTAGTGAGCACCCACGCTTTTGGCCCAAACTTACAGGGGGGAAAAAAACCCTTTGTTTTAATTTTTTTAATTCAATTTTTAGAAAATTGATATTTAGAAACGAAACTGATTCCAGGGTGTTATTTTGCATATGAATTTCGTTACTGCTTTCTAGAGTTACACTTTTAAGCAGAAGCATAAATAAAACAATTAAAAACATACATATAGATACGGAATGAGTAGTACCCATGCATAATGCACATCGTTATTTTTCCCTCAAAGATTTGGGCAAAAAAGTGTGCATTATACATGGCAAAATACAGTAATTGTAAATAAACTTCAAGGTACAGTCATAGTCCTTAATTACATTTGGGGGAGTAAATGAGACCTGAGAAAAGGGGGGCTTAAATGAGTAACTGGGACATGTGTAAGATTGTATTGGAGGACGAGTTGCTAGTTTTCCCAAGTATCTATTCCCAGCTTCTCTTTCTTTCCACCTGTCTTCCCTTGGCAGAAGAATTTTATACTTTTATCATTGAAAAAGATCTGCTCCAAAAATTCAGTCCTTACAAGTGAAAGTTAAGGACCTTACTGTGGAGTTGAATGTGTCTGTAGAGATGGCTGGATATGTGGTCACTGGTCCCCAGGTGGACGGATGGGTCGGTTCCTAGCCCTGGTTTAAGTCCCAGCTGGCTAGGACTTGGCCATTTAGATTTTGAGATTTGAGATGTGCCATTATGTCCTTCGTCATTCTAGGAGCCTATCGAAATTCTTGGAGCTATTGAAGGATTGATTCGGCACTTACCTAATTGAGGCTGGGTTACAATTAATTCAAGTTTCATTGGTTAAGGTTACTTCACCACAGTGCATGTGACTATTCCCCATCACTCCTAGGACAGGTGCACCTAGGGGACCTAGGTGGTGTTTCTAGCACTGTCCAGACAAGAAGGCATCTTCATGGTACAAGTTTTTGGTTTATGCAAACATGTTTGGTCGCGGGGCAGCCACATCCAGTTAGAAGGGAGAACGCCCGTAGCTACCATGGCTCCCTGTCCTGTTTGTCCTCTCTTTGGAATCCTCAGATCTGATCCACTCTGCCCTGCCCTGCCCTGCCCTGCCCTGCCGACTCCTGTGGCCTGCTTGCCTCCGGCTCCCTTGCTGGCTGCCGGTGGGACCCACCAGCAGAAGGCATCAGCAGGCGGAGGGAGGGATTGGGATGTGTCTCCCTGCTCTCTCCTCCACTGGGACTCTCACTGGGGCCTCCTCCGCAGTCTCAGCCCTTATGGGCCTCCAATGACCTGTTTCCTCCCCTCATTCCTTCAGCTGAGGGCCAGTGTCAGTCCCTGAGTGCCTCACCACCCCTGCTGGGTCTCTTGTCCTTGCTCTCCCATAAAGTCTCAACATCTGGGTTGATTTGTTTGCCATCAGGACCCCACCAGATACGTCCATGTTACTGGTTAGCATAGCTTTAGGTGGTTAGTTTCTTAAATGCCCCAGTTCTGACCCCATGCTCGTCCAGAACTTTTGGGACGAAAGTCAGTCATCCGAGTGCATTTATCTGAAGGGAGGAGAGTGCTGCCAGTAGCGGAGTATGTCAGCCCGGTGGGTGGTTAGGGTTCTCACTGCAAACTAGTAAAGCGGCATTCTGCAAAATGCAGCAGGGTCTCCTGAGTTGACTAGCATGAGTTGGTCTCTGGAGATCAGTCCTCTGCCAAAATCAAATTGTGCTTACAGAAGCAAGGGTCACGCCTGAATCTGTGATGATGTGATCAAAGTTAGGCTTCAGGATATCTTGCCCCACAGACCCTGGCCTGTGGTCACCTTTTTCCTCACTGATTTCTCGAATTTCTTCCTGGTCTCCTTTGTTGATGCATCCGCCTCTGCAGCAGACTGTCAGCTAGAGGAGTCTTTTGAGGCTCACGCCTGGGCCCCCTCTGCCCTCACTCCATGACCTCTTTGGTGCAGCCTTGCACACACTTAGCTTCAGTTTCTGTCTTGGTGCCAGTGGCTCCTGGGTTTATCTCCAGCTCAGGCTTCTCCTCCAGGCTCAGGGCCCTGTATCTAAATGCGGTGTGGCGTTTCTTCTCACATGTTTGGCAGTCATTTCAAATTCTAAATGTCTGTCCTAGCCTGATCAGCCTATGACCATGAGGAAGGACCTGATAGTCTCACAAGGTCAGGTTTACTGATACGTTGCAGTGAGGGGGACCACACACCAGAGGAACTGTGGGCATCTTGCCATCAGAGGAAAGGACGGAGATGCTGTAGGATTTGGGACAGAGTGGAGTTGAGGGGAAGTACAAACGAAGCTGTGTTTTGATGGGCTTCAAGCAGAGTTGGTCTGTGTGCGCAGTGGTCTGCATCAGGTCTGTCTGCAGTGGCCCAGGTCCCGTTTCCTTGAAAACTACCAAATTTACATAGATGGGGAACATAGCGTCCAGAAATCCTTATTTGAATCTCTGTAACTAGCTGGAAATCAAGGCTGCTGGTCTGTGTCACAGTGCTTTTGATTCTGCAGGTGAGAGTGGGATGCTTCCTTCTTACTGGTACAAGCAGAATCCCTGATAGTGTGGGATTTTACAGAATAAGCTTTCTCTGAGTAAGAAACTAGCAGTCACTGAAAGACGGAGGCATGATGGCACTTCTGTTGCAATGTGTCCCGTGGGAGAAGTACTGCTTCCTGTTAACTTGGCAGCTGGCTTTGTGTGTGTCTGTTATCCCAGCCTGACAGATCACAGGACAGTTTCACTTTCTCAGAGCACGCTGATTTCTTACCTTCTCACGTGTGACTCATGATATCCATCCCCACCTCCTCACCCCAGATTGGGCTGCCTGTCTCCCCAGGGCACCACCATCCAGACTAGAGCCCACCAAGATCCCCCTTGACGCCCGCCTCTCCTGCTCACTGGTCGCCTGGCTGCCGGTGAGCCCTGCCCAGCTCCCCTCGCCGCTGCACCCTGACGTGGTCAGCCTGCCTCCATTGCCATGCCGCCGCCTGAGTCCGGGCCCCTCTCGCTCTGCCCGGGGCTCTGCCTCCCGGAGGTGTCCACTCATTGTCACTGTCCAGTCTGGTCTTTATGTCGTAGCCCACGTAATTTTTAACATTTATTCTGATTATGTCATTCCCTTGCCTAAGTCTTCAATGGCTTCTCCTTGCTCTTAGGATAAAGACCAAAAACTAAGCAGAACACCCACCCAAATCCACTACCACCCAAAAACCTAAACAAAACACTGCCATGGCTAGAAGGGCTGTGTATTATTGGACTCAGCCTCAGACGCAGTCTCACTTTATCTGGCTGCTGAGATAGGATGGGTCCCTTGTCCTTCAGAAAATAAATGGTTTTATTCTTCAAATACATTTGTCTCCATAGTTTTATTCTCATGGTACAAGTTGGTGGGAGGACTGGGCCCCTGTTTATTTCTCCGTGCCTAGCTGAATGCTTGGACCCGAGGGACTGCCCTGCCCACCCTCCTGGTTTGCATGGTATCTCGGGAAGCTAAATATGCCACAGGAAACTGGGTGTTAAGAGAAAGGATCAGAGTGGATTGAGTGGTTGCAGGAGGCTTTACTGTGAACTTGAACGTCAGCTGGCCCTCGGAGACGTCTGCTTCTCTGGCCTAAGCCTTACCTGAGATATCTTTCACCTAATTTTGGCTCTTAAATTCTTACCACTTGGATGGTATGAAAGAAAACAAAAATCCCTCCCCCTCCCTTTTAAGGAGTAGATCTGTCAGCCCTTTGTGGGCCTTCCCAGGAGCCTGTCTTCCTAACTGATCATGTGAACCATGGTCTGGAGAGTGGACCCTACAGAGGAAAAGCAAGGTCACATGATGGCAGCAAGCGCTGTTTGATACATGGGTTCTTCCACCCTGCCCTGGCCCTTGGCTTTGACTGGTAGCAGAGCTCCTGTTGCTTCTAGGGTTTTCGTGTGCCTCCTGTTGTAAGCAGTGACGAGGCACACATGAAGATAGGGAGGAAGGAATGAATGCAGGCAGGATGGAGAGGGAAGCTGTGCACGTGACTTGAGAGGAAGTTTCCCTCCAGAGGACTTACACTGATACAATAACTATCAACTAGGTAGTGGGCTTCACTGTGCCTCTAGCACAGTTACTTCCTTTGGGAACCTGGGCAGGGAAGTGGTGGAGTTTGGGATAATACCGATGAAGGTGCTGCCGGAGAATCTATAGGGAATAGATGTTGAGAGAGGCATGATTTGTTAGAAGGAAAAGGGGAAGATGTTTATTAAAAAAAATTTTTTTTTGTCTTTTACTGATTTTAGAGAAAGGGGAAGGGAGAGAGGGAGAGAAGCGTTGATTCATTGCCCTTAGCATGTGCCCCAGCTGGGGACTGAACCTGCAACCCAGATGTGTGCCCTGACTGGGAACTGAACTGACGGTCTTTCAGTTTGCAGGACGATGCTCAACCAACTGAGCCACACCGGCCAGGGCAGAAGGGGAAAATGTTTTAGACTAGAATGATGGTTTGTATGGAAGCCACCAAAAGGCATGCGCAGCATTGATTGTGGGTTAATGAGCTAGATTTTCTGCTTGACACATGGAGCACGGATTGGGGTATAGTTGAATCTGTAAATCCAGTATCTGGATCACCTGTTGGCCTGCTTTTATTACCTACTTTTCCTCCTGGTAGTCTTGGTAATTTTTTATTGATTAATGGACTTCTAAAATGAACACTTGCAGAGTCTCTGTGTAGTGGTGGTATTTTTCTTCAGTGGGGCCTTTTTTTCCCCTCTGGCTTCTGCCTGTCAGAACAGGGTCAGAGCAGACGACCTTAATTCAGTCAGGGATTGAGCTTGTTTGTTCCTGACTGGTTTCAGCCTTAGTTCCAGCTGGCCTATGTCTAGTTCATTCTTCCTTGCAGGGTTTCAGTCTTCAAGGGGGTCC